GAAATTTAAGATCAGGGATAGTTTTTTCAATCTTATAAAATCTGCTAGTTTGATTGAAATAAAAATTGGTGAGAGCTATTTGAATTTAAAAATTTACACTCTAGACAATTTTTGAAGCAATCAAATAATTTAGCAAGGAGAAATTTGAAAGTTCAACATTCAAGATATAATGTACTTATTAAATATGATAATAAAAAACTATCAACCATCATACTCCATTTCTATTAAGCATCAATGTCCTCATGCCTTTGACTCTTCATGCAATCTAAATCATCCAAGCAAACTAGCTTCAAAAAAACTCAAAGAAACAAGCACCCTAATTTGGATACTTTTTTGACACACAAAACCACTAGGATCCAAAAACCACATTATTTGACAAAGACCTTCTTTATCTAATCCTACATATTCTAATATTTTAGCAATATATAATTTTTGTCTAAGTTTCAAAATTTTACTATGGCATTGAGCACCTTTCAATGTCTAACCATGGATTTTTTTTGAATATTTAGAAATACATATATCAACCATCACTTCCTTCTATTCTTACTTCATCTAAATCTATTTGACTTAAGATAAGACCATGGCTCATTTTAAACATGACTTTACTTCAAAAATTACAATACAAGAATAATTGGTTAAGACTCACTTTCAAATAATAGTCCACATTTGAAGAAAAAATTATATGTTTATTGTATAATAAGCAAAATGAATGATTCGACTTATTACTATATGCAAGGCTCTCTAAGAAGTCAAGGACGAGGTGGTAGCAGTGGATATTAAGATCCAACAATTGGAAGTAATAAATAAAAATTAAAATAAGGCTTAAAAAGAATGAAAAAAAACAAAGAAATACTACTAATTTCTAGGATGTTGAGACTAAGTTCTCAGCTACTAGTGCTACATGAGTATACAATACAACAAAAATTATTATATAGCAGATTCAATTATTAACTTTCAAGCATCTTGAATTCTTATAATCAAAGATGCATTAATATAAAGAAAGTTTGATCAATATAGCAGTATCTAAACTAAGCTTAGAAGATGAAGATCTAATGTAGGCAATACAACCTACCAATGTATTAGCTTAGAATCTCCACTCCATTGTCAATCTTCTTATCAATCTTCTAGAAGTGGTCAAAATTCCTAAAAAAAATCCTTTTATGATATCTTCTTCCAATCTTCCACTCATATAATAATTAGAGCTCCTAAATACTTTCTCCAAAGATGATAAAGAAGAAATCCTTGCTTGTACTTGATTAGACTATAATTAATTAGCATCTTGTTTTTAATTAACATTACCATATAATAACATATCCATTAAGTGAAATAAAAAGAAAATTATTTTATTATAAAAGAGCTTAATTAAAAAAATAAAATAAAAAACATAAATAAATGATAGGCACATTATAAAATCTATTAGTGTAAGAATTTTCTTTTATGAAAATTGATTCTATTTACTTTGTAGAGCCATTAATAAGATAAAACAAAGTATATTAAAAAAATAAAAAAATATATAAACATATATAAGAAGGAATTAGGAATTAGTTTTAGCAAAAATTACATCAAGAAGACAAGAATTGATACCTAAAGAAGACCAATTATTAATCAAGGTCGAAATCATATCCCAAGGCATAAAACCAAGTACCTATAGAAACTCCAAGGTTCTTTTGTAAATCAAAAAGTGGGATTTGAAAAAAAATTTAAATTTGAAAGAAGATTTTTAAATTTTGTCTCATATTATTTGAATTAATATTAAGATTGAGAGATTTTTAAAGTTAATAATGTACTCAATGAATTTAGATTTGAAGAAATAAAAATAAGTTAACAAATTTTAGGATTTTATGAATTTTTTAGTGTATGTACAAGTAAAAATTAGGCAATTTGTTTTTTTACTTATTATAAATGTGTGTAAAAAATTTGAAGTCAATCTATCAATTAGATAGAAGCATATAAGAGGTTTCATAGATTATGGTCTGAAAAATTTGAGATTTAAGATGAGTGAGTGGTTCTAAGATCTAGCAATATCTTCAAATTGGATTGAAGCAAAATTTAATAAGAGCAACTAAGACTTGAATATCTACATGCAAGCCTAATTTTTGGAGAAATTTAATGATTTAGCAAAGAAAAATTGGTTTTAAAAGATCAACATTCAAGTTAGAGAAGGAAGGTGGCCAACAATTGAGAGGTTTTAGGAGCTTTTTTTCTAATTGGTAAATTTGATTCTTCTCAAATTTTATGTGCTTGTTAATTTCTTGTTAATTTAATTCAAGGTAAAAATTTAGTTAAGATCTATGGTTCAATTAATATTTATTGAGGTTTCAAATAATTATAATAATTGATTAAAATTTATTTAGAATTTTTTTGAAATTATTTAAGGTTTAGAATTTGATTAGAATTTATTTAGGATTTGATTAGAATGTATGATTTTATTGGAATTTGATTTAAGATTAGGATTTAAGATTTGATTAAGATTTGGCTTAGAATTAAGATTTAAGATTTGATTAAGATTTATTTAGAATTTAATTAAAATTTATTTAGGATTTAGAATTTTATTAAGATTTGGTTGAAATTAGTTTAGATTTTTATTAGAATTTATTGAAGGTTACATTAGAATTTTATAGAAATTCAATTAAGATTTTTATTTTTAATATTTCTTTATTATATATTTTATTAAGATTAATTTATGATTTCTTTATATTTATTTTATAAATTCTTAAGACTTCTTTTGGATTTAATTAAAGATTAATTAACATTATTATAATTTAATTGAAATTTATTTAGGATTCTATTAGAGTTATTAGGATCATCTTATTGAAATAAAGTCTTTTTTTGTTCTAATATTGTTACATGTTGATCTTATCTAATATGTTGGTATCGAAATAATGAAAAAGGTGAGTACTTGAATTGTACAATAAACTACTACAAACTAATATCAAAATTATCAGAGACTCATCCAAGGTTCTATAGGGATTTAATCTCTAAAATCTTAATTTTTTCAAGCTATGTAGAATGGAATATAATAACATCCAAATTAATAATGTCTATCCCATACACAATTTCAAAGTCATATTTTTAAAATAATAAAGCATATTTGGTAAACTTGCTAGTAGGTTTATTTGAATCCATGAGCCACTCTAAAGGTTAATGGTTAATCACAAATGTAAATGGTTGCTTACACAAATAGAGTCAAAAATGAAGTAATGGTCCAAATTTTTGCTAAAGGTTCTTCTTCATAAGATGAATAATTGGATTCCATATTGTTATTCCTTATAGAAGCAAATGCAATGATTTATTTTTATCATATATCATCCTTCTCTGTCAAGACTATTCTCAATTCTATTGCACTCTAATCTATATATAAGTTAATATATCTAATAGAATTTGGACATCAATGTACTAAAATCAAACCTAAATTTTGCTTCAATATATCAATTGCATATTGTTACTTACAATCTCAAGTCCTTCGATGATCCTTGTCCATAAAGATAGTTATAGGTTTGGCATTTAAATTAAAGTTCTTAACAAATCTTTGATAATAATTTTTCAATTCAAAAAAAATCAAAGATTGTGAAACATTGCTTAATACCAAGCATTATGCAAGGCTTCAACCTTTGCTTGTTGTATGCCAAGACCTTCTAAGATAATCATATGAACTAAGTATGATAACCACTTATAAAAGAATTTACCCTTGCCATAATATAAATATAATATTTATTGTTATGATTGTTAAAATACTAATTATAAATATATCATATGATTTTTTTAGCTACTATTAAAAATGATAATATCATCAATGTAGCATCTAGCAAATATCAAACTAGACAACATTTGGTCCATCATTCTTTGAAACTCAATTAGTGCATTTTTAAGGACAAACAAAAATAACTTTTAATAATAAACTTGGCCTTTTTTTTCTAGATTAACTTTCTAAAATATTATTTATATCCAATCTTCAACAAATAATAGTAATTGATAATAAACAGTTCTTAAGTCCAAAGTATTGAATATTTGAAAGAATTTTATTATATCAAATAATTTTTATGGTATTTTTATTGGATATTAATCAAACTTGATCTTACAATCAATTCAATGATAGTCTCTATTCATTTGCTTCTCTACCTAATTTCCAAAAACATCTTTTTTTAAAAGCATAATTGTAGTACAAACGTACTTGCTATTGGAAAGCTTAATTAAGCCTACAATCAATAATTCTTGATAATAGATCTAAATAATAGTTTTTTTTTTGAGATACTAAGCTTTTAAAATTGTTATGTGTTGTGTTGTTCAAACACACGTAAATGAAAATAAAATCGAACTCAAAATCTGGATTCCCATACAAAACTAAAGTTAATACAATTGCAATATAAACAAATAAAAGCCTATATCTTTTGTGCTTTGGTACCAATAATGCGTCAGTGGCGCAGCTTGCCGGGTGGGTGCCACAGTCCACAAACTTCAGATGCATCCTCCCCGACAGCGTTCCACCGCCAATCCCAATGTACTTTCAAGGACTGCCATGTGTCACGCCTCCACAAGAACAGAATCCGCCCCGCTAGCGACGCGAGACAGCCAATGCCTGGTGATCCACGGGAGCCCGCGGCTCCATGTTTCCTCCCGCAAGATAACTCGCAACTTGCTACCGGATGCTCGAGAATCTGGTGGCTCGAGAATCTGGTGGAAAGGAGGAGTGGGACGGAGCGAGGCTCCAAAAGTTGTAACCGAAGGGCGGCTTCCTTTGGGTGAAAAAGAAAACCGCCAGACGGTTGCGCCAGTCCACGCTGCAGCACACAGGCAGCTTCGACGCACACATCCATGACGTGATGAGCATGACAGGAATGGTCGGATCAGAAACCCAAAGCCACCCGAATTCGGGGAGTGCTTGGTGACCACAATCCGCTGGGAACATCCAATCGAGACTGATTAGTGGGAATCAAGCAAGTGGATTCATGGGTGGTTGGGCTTGGCACCTTCCGTGAGCATGGACTACATAAGGCTGTCCGAGGAGCGGCATGACGTGCAAGCATCGGTCCCGCGGTCGACTATTGGGGTGGCTCCAGTGCGGAAGTGATCGGCCGTAGACTCACTGTTCCCAGCGAGCGGTCGGTTGAGTTGCTGGCGATGGCGAGCCAACTTGTGCAGGCAGTGGCCGCTGTTGTGGTTCTGCAATGCATCTCCGCAAGCTGGGTTGGCGCGTGGGCAGGATCGGCTCAGGCTGAGGGAGGTGACGAGGGTAAGTCGGGGCAGAAACTCCAACTTCGGCGTGGAGTAGTAGAACAGGATTGTGATGTCCCCCTAGCATTCCATCGCAGCATACATGCGGCCGAAAAATTCTTGACTCACATTGGTGGCCTGCATGACCAACTGATGCATGACTCCAACCAATGCTGGTGCATGACTCCGTGTGCATGTGCTGTGTGGATATTCAGTGCACTGGGACTACAGCGGTGGGTCGCATGGGCCAGGTGGCTGGGGTGACCTGAAGGCCGAGTGGGGTGTGTGCAAGTCGGGCAGCCGGCAGTCCCCGATCGCCATCACGGCGCTCGACCTGGTCACAGACCGCAGTCTGGGGAAGCTGGATGCCAAGTACCGGAAGAGAGTTCATGCCACTCTTTACAACAGCGGGCATGGGGCTGAGGTAAGTGCCGTGGTCTCTGAAGTTCTCCCTTGGCGGTGTGGCGGTTATCGTGGTCAATTGGAACCAGTGAAGTTCGACGTTTGGACAGGGGGGCAGGCGTGCCGATTGCAGGCGGCTGGCCTGTTACTCCGAAGTTGGGGCTGACTGTGGATTTGTCAGGTGAGCATGCCAGCCGGCTCGGGACGCTTGAGGATCGGTGGCGAGACGTACCGACCCGTCCAGTTCCACATCCACATGCCCAGCGAGCACACAATCATGAACCAGAGGTACGTCACGGCATGCTACCACGAAGTTGCAGGTTTTGTTTGGGAATTGAATTCGGCTGTGGAGCCCGCACCTCCGTTTGTGACTACGAGGTCAGTGTGTGTTCATTGCTGACGCGCGAACCACTGTTCGGTTGGCACTGCTCCAGTTTCCCGCTGGAGCTCCACTTGGTGCACAAGTCCGATGATGGGAAGCTTGCGGTGATCGGGTTCCTGTTTGAGGAAGGAGGCGAGAGCGAATTCCTGGCCCAGGTACGCACCCCGCTCCCACCTGTGTACCCTCTTTCCAGTGGGCGCGGACGAGGCTGAAGGTCAACTGTCGTGCGCCCATGACGTGGGTGGCGTAGCTTTGGCGAATCTGCGTTGCGTTATGGTCGGTGCAGAGTAGTGCTCTCGTGTGTCACTGAAGATCTTGCTATGAAGGTCGCGCGCGCTATCGAACGCGATTCTCCTTGGCGAAGCCTGACCCCATGCGGAAACTGGTGTGACGTGTGCAGTTCGCACATGAGGTGCCATCGTCAAATAGCCCAGGCGTGAAGGTCGACTTGGGGCACATCAAGATGATGAAGCCGGAGAGGAACTACGGCACTTACATGGGATCCCTCACCACCCCACCATGCGCGGAGGGTGTCACCTGGATTCTGTCGTTGTTCAACGTAAGTGGGTTCTGCTCCAGTGTTCGTGGCATGACAGAGAGACTTGTAGATGTCGGCATGTGGGAGATTGTGGTTTTCCGTCGTCGCAGTGGTTCTTTCGGGTGCCCTTCCAAATGCAAGGCGAGCAGCCGCTCACAAGCGTTGCTCATGAATGTACCGGGAACTGATACGTGGGACGATGTTGCGCTTGTTGGGTGGCAGTTTCAAACGGCGTCCGCGGAACAGCTGGCTAAGCTCCGGGCTTCTGTGCCGGTGAGTGATCTCTGCCAGGTGCAGGTGGTAGGGAAGGTGGCCGCGGGTGCTGCTAGATTGTTCTGTTGTATCTTCTTTTACCTGCTTCTTTGGAAACGTTGGAACGGTGGCTTTTCTGGCATCTGACGCCGGGCTGCATGCACTGGACGTGTGACGTGTGCAGAAGGGACACAACAACCGTCCAACCTTCGGCAGCGCCGGAAGGGGTTTCCGCATGCGCACCAACGCTTGAGGTATCAGGGTGGCGCCAGGATGGAGATGTAAGCGACACGAAGTGTGGCAGCTTGTAAAATGCGACGCCTCGACGCTGATGGCGTCGGTGTTTGTAGACTAGTGCATTCAACTCCCTCTCTTTCCCACGAATTGAGCCGGGCGTGGAGTGGAATGATGTAGAGTAGAAGTCAGTGTAGAGGCTGACAAGAGAGTGCGCAGACTGGATGTGGTTTGCGCCTCGTCAGAATGGTAGATTTGACGCTAATGCCGAGCTCCGTGGAAGCAAAGCAGCTTCACGGTTGTACCACTATGCACCTCTCAATGGAAGTTTGGTTGAATCCGGGTTTTCGCTGGAGTTCCCAGCAGACGCAGATGGGTCGTGTGATGGGTGTTGCCGCCGACTGGGCGATGTAGGCGTGTGTGTGTGTGTGTGTGTCTGGGAGGGAAAGGTCGGAAGATGGCAACACTCATCGCTGTGCTGGTGCAGGGCAGTTTGGGAGAAGGAAAGTTGGACATGCACATGCGCATGCACGTAGCGCGCGCTTGATCTCAGGTACCTGGAGCAGGACAGAGTTTCGGGACGTCTCCAGCGACGGGATCGCGGTGCACCATTCGTGAACAGCCTGCTGCCAATCACAGTGCAATTCACTGAGGACGAGGTAGGTATGGAACGAATCGCGCAGTCCGACGCAGTCCGGTGATTCCGATCTTTTATCATTGCAGTTAGCACCACGCATAGTTACAGATACTCATGTGTTTATGTGTGTTATGATGTCGACAATAGTACATACGCATCTGCATTGTTCAATGTAGTCTAGAAGTCATCGGTTCATGTAACCGAAGGTGGGATGGATCGGGCCGAGGTAAAGTATTCCCGACTGTCGATCGGGCCAAGCTTTTGGCCATGGCTTGGTACGTTTTGAAGCTTAAAACACATTAAAAATAGCACCGCAGAATGTGACTACTATCACAACTGTGCAATTGCACTCGAATCGCTTTACGGTACCGTCTTCAAGATGCTGCATAACAAGCAAGCTGTTAATCTCTACGCTAATGGGATCACTCACTCACTCACTGGAAAAGATAAGCCGCTCTGTTTTGTACGTCAATCTAGACATTGCTGGTTGTGTTTTCCATTCACATGTAGTAAGTCGAAAGAATGGATCCATCCAATACTTGCCAACTGTGCTCGACGTCTGCCAATCGCGTAGGAGCACTAACTTCGGAAGCATGTGCCTTTTTTCGTGACTCTTCATTGGACATGAACATTACATGTGCGTGATGGTGTGTTTGTCTGCGGTCCGCGTTGAGAGAAATGGAAGTTTTCCTGGTTATCTTGTAGACCAGTCATGTCGCGTTATTTTTGGGATAAGCAAAAGTGGTTACCTTGAGGAGATTATGTACAAAGTCAACCCCCAACCTGTGTCGTGTTCTTCAGCCCATCAGCTGAGGGCACCCTTTCCGTCTCTGCACTTTTGATGTTATTTTTGTGAAAAATTGCGGGACTCAACTTGCATGCAGTGCATGAACCCCCTGGTTGCCTACGAGCTTATCTGCGAGAAGTCCAGTGTCCGGAAGCCAAAGTGTTCTCTGAATGTGACCGCAAGTCCCAGTTTCCCCACACGCGAATAAGTCGGACCCGCCAAATGCCATACCTTTACAGAAGAACTGCAATCCCTGGCAGCCAAATTTAGCCCGTGAATCGATCCCCCGTTCTAGACTTCAGTCTAGCTGTGTGTGACATTGTGATTGGATTATTGTGAACTTTTAATATATTAGGGTGGATGGCTGTTGATTTGCCAATGGCTCGGATTGATTTAACATCAGATGAGGATGGGAAGCTGCCAGTTTTTATCGTTAGCGGTTGTTACATTGTTGATATATCGATTTGGTTTCGTCAGGTTTAATTTGTCACATTTATAATAGCAATATTCGTTGAAACCTTTAGTAAAAAGTTGATGGAAATCTGTATTTCGTTTTTTTAGCTTATTTATTCTGAGGCGCAGATGAGTAGAAAGCACTTCAACCGGAGCGGATGAATTTTGGAGCTGTGAAGACGAATGTCGCCTGGGAGAGGGAAGGAGTTTTATAAATTTTCCCATCTCAGAATAGTTTTTCTCTACACGTGTGTGAATGTGCGATGGCTTTGTGTGTGCTTCTGATTTGATGGAGGAATGTTCTTACAATTTAACATGATTATTTTTTGAATTTTGAAATTTGTTATGATATGTTTTGGATTCAAAAGTTGATGAGGTTTATTTACATGTTGTTTAGAGTTATTGGAATTTTGAAAGAAGAAATTTGAAATTGAGATGTAGAATTTAGTGTGAAGAGTTGTATTGAGTTATTAAAGTTGTAATGCAAGATTTGTTTAGGATTTGCTTAAGATTTAGTAAAATTTGCAACAAAATTTTACTTGAAGCTATTAAGATATGACTGTTTAGAATTTATGAGATTGTGTGAAATGAACCATATGATACAATTGATTATTAAATAAAAATCTATTATTTTTTCAAATATAGATTTTTTTAAAAAAATCTAAATTTTACTTATTTGTTGCAAATAGAGATTTTTCTATTAAAAAAACAAGTATGACTACCATCTATTAAATCATTATAAATTCTTAATATAAATTCTTAATGTAGCTGCTAAATAGAGCCACCATCAATTTTTGCATTAAATTTGGGATTAATGGATAAAAAAAAAGATTTAAATAAAATTTATCCAAAAATATTTGATTAATGATAGATTAATTTTAAAATAATGTGCATTTTATATTATTGTGTGTAAATGTAGTATTAAAGAACATTATAGAAGCTTAAAATATTTGTACAACAAAATGTAATATAAGTTGTATTGCTAAGATATGTATTAATATAGAGCTTATTAAATCATTATATATGGTAGTAATAATAAGATTAAATTATAAAAAGATAAATTTTTATATTATAAATATTTTTAAAAATATTTTAAATTGATTAAGGCATATTTGATTTTTATATAAATAATTTATTGAGATTGATATTGGTCTTTTAGGCATAACTTTGTTAGATTCTACAATTTTAAAAAGAATTAAAAAATAAAATTTATATATTTATGTACATATGTATGTATGTTTATATATATTTATATACTTCAAGAATAAAAATACTTTTATATTAACCTTTATGTTGTTATAGAAGTATTTTATATTCTTTTTACATAAAAAATATTTATTAAATAATATCTATTGGAGCCTTCAAATGACATATTGAAGTATTTGGCCAAATTCTTATTAATGCAATTATTGAATAAATCCAATTTATTTTGTATTAAGCTGTAGATTGATCCAAATGACAATTAAGTTCTTTCTTGAAGATCAATTTAGTAATCATAAGGATGATGCTTTTGTAGAATGTCAATATTTTTCTTCTAAAACACATCTTGATAATCCTTATATAAGCTTAAAATATTGCTTGAAGTCTATTTGCTATTAGAAATAGGTATAGAATAAATAAAAAAAAAATAACTTCTTACTTTGTAGCATGTATAAAAGCCTTTGCATCTACAAACAAAGTTTTGATTATACTAGACTTATGACTTTTTACTTGATTAGCAAAACTCTTGATTATGCTATTAGAAAAATCAGGATTACAAGAAATCCAACCTACTAGGAGATTATATGTTTTTAGCAACAATAAGCCTAAAATGACTAAATTAAAAAAAATTCTATTAATATTCAATATCACTCATCTATTATAATAGTTTTTGGCTATTTCTACAAAGATAGTTTTATGATTAAAATCTCCAAAAGATAAAAGAAAATCATCTACAACTTCTATATATATGAGTTTAGTTTTCTTAACTAAAAATATACCATGTCTTTTAACAAAGTCTTAACTCAAAAAACAAATTGAAGCTCTTGAATCTAATAAGGCAAAGGCTTTGTAATTTTTAGGTCCTAAACTTATGTTTATTGTAAAACAAGGTGAAGGTTTTGAAGAGAAAATATGACTTTTATTAAGTATTGCATAAGATCTTAAGTGTGTGGTTTTATTATAACTAGACATATTTATTTTCTAATACATTGTTTTAATTGACAATCATACTCTTTATTTTGTGGTTATGTTGTTTTTTTGGATAATGTTGAGCAATGTACTTAGATTCTCTAAAATGTAAGCACAATCTTCTTTGACAATGTTTCTTATTTTTTTTGCTTAGTAAGAGGATTAAAACATATTGCATCAATTTAAATAGGTTTTGATTTCTATGAATAAATTTCTAAAAACTTAAGAGTTGTTGTCATGACTTGATTTATTCTTCTTTAACCAAATCTTTGTTCTTTGCACATTTTACAAAGTTGTTTACTACATGTAATGGCTAAAATAACAAACTGCATCAATAAGTTTGCTTTTGTCATTATCAATAATAAATCATTAATGTTGTCTTTTAGTCTAATTTAAAATTGGTTGATAAAGGATTTGTAGTTTCAACTTATGTTACAAGTAAGGTATTAGAATTTGAGAGCAAAGATGGTAGCTAATTGTGATTTTTGTCCTAAGGATAAAAATATTATTTTTATCATTCTAGGACTTAATATGGATGTTGCTATCAATTGGATTATATAAGAGTACTTGTTTGTCTGGAAAGCAAAGATTAGAAGATGGCAATATACATCATTGTGCTGATGTAAGATAATTTGAATGGAAAAAAATTGAGCATGTATACATGCATTTGATTTCAGCAACACACAGTAGGAAAAGTTTTGGAAATGATTCTAACAACAAGATTGAGATGCATTATTCTTAAATAGCTTACTATCAATCATAGTACAATTTATTGAAGATGGAATAGGTATAGAATGTATTAGGTGTATCTAATATTTTCTATTTTTTTTATTTTATTTGTTTCTTTGTATCATTATAATTAGCACCTATTGAAGTGGATGTCAGTGACTCACCAAAATTGTTGGATTTATATACTAATAAATAATAATCAATCTATGCAACCTTAAATTAAACTATGTTTATTATACATTTGTATAGATTTATTTTATAAGATTTTTTTGAAAATAATAAGTGATTACTTGTTTGATTGCTAGTTTCTAAGTTGACAAGTATTGTTTTCACTAAAATGATTTAGCTTTGCTTTGTACACTACTTATTATATTGCTGATTATGATTTATATTTTTTTATAGAAAGTTGGACAAAAATGTTCATTTTATAGTCCTACTTATTTAAGTTAACTTTCTACAATTGAATCTAATAATACTTCTCTCACTCTATTAAAGTTGAAAGTTGTGATACCAAGTAAAAAACACAATTGAACAAATTGATCTTGCAAAAGAGGCTTTGTGAAAATATCAATAATTGGATTTTGAATAAAAA